AATGCAATCATTATTTAAAGATACACAAGAAGGCATAACATTGTAACCACAGTCAGGCGAAGAGATATCACCAAGGAACTCAATGTGTTCTTACTTATCCTCTTATTTGATTGGGCCAGTGGATGATAGTGGACAGACCTGATACAGTATGATACCTGAGATCACCCGGCTCGCCCTGACTGTGATGCTCATACTGCAGGACACAAAGGAGGGGTACTTCTGTCCTGAGGGGTGTTAATACTTTCAAATTGCCCTTACACAGACTCTGCTGGCCATACTTGAGCTACATTGAGACCTTTGTTTGAGTTATTCCAGTTATACCTGTGATTTAACTCCTCTGATTTAATTTGTGAGGTTAAATTGCTCCTTGGAGGTAAAGTTATATTGATTAATAGTTGCTAAGATGACACAATGCTATTCAAGTATTTTCACACTTAAAATAAATTATTACATTTGGTCCTCTCGTGTCTTGTTGTATTGCTATTATTTTAAGGCCTGGAGCATCTTCTGCATGGGCTAACACAAATGCACTGCATATGATTCCACATTAATCACATTTATAACTGCCATTATGCCCAAGTCTGTGGCTAGCAGCATACATCACACAGAGAGGCTAGAGTGTGGGTCATTAGCAGGACTCCAACAGCTGCTACAGGGAGAGCTACAGGACAAAATTAGGCGAAATCCTGCAGGAAAACTCCAGTTGAACATTTAACTAATGACTGATGACAGTGTCGCCTAATGCATGTCCTCTGCCTTCTGGATAAAGAGACCACCTATAGGGACAGGGGTCACCTCCAACCCACAATGTGCACCACAGATATGTCAGGATTGAGAGTAGATACTATGACACTATGATGCTATTTCATGTAGTGGTTTTGTTTATTTTATATGTCACAATTAAAGTTATTGAACAACGACTGTGTCTGCAATCTGTAAACCTTTTCGAGCAGCAGTAGTTTTAAATTTCAATACCCTATGCACGTACTGCCCTCTACTGGCTAAGTTCTGTATAAGAAATCAAAATACAAGGTATTTAGGGGGGCACACACAGCATGGTATTAAAACATATCTATCTTGCACTTATTCAGACGTAGTTAAATCAATAATGATCAGTAATTTTCCTCTTTTTATTTATAAAAAATAAAAAATAAAATAAATAAATAAACGTAATTATAGGAACTGATTTAAGTAACTTCATCTAGCTAATTAATGTAACGGTCTGTGCTGATTGCATTAGGAATCAATTGCAACTATTCTGTCTCATTTAGCACAAATTTTGTGTCACATTTAGCATTTTCATAACTTCACAACTGTTTCTTACAAGGACAAAACTAGGCTAAATTTTGGTCAAAAGTTGAGTTACAAGGTCAGTCCTGGTTGGCAGTACCAAATAAATGAGCTGTGGTCAGAGCAGAGGGCACAGAGGCAGAGCTGTCACGGTTTTTGTCATGTGTACTAATGGTAAAGTAGTTACATTTGCCAGTGTGTCTTTTGGGAAGCCTAAAAATACACCGAATCAATCAAACAACAGGAGCACAGCGACCCTAGTGACTCTGACATGTCATATACAGGCACATCAAAAGGGCAATTCCTGACACCCCTCTTAACTTTAGGTCACTAAATGTTGTAAGACGTGAGGCATTTAACAAAAGGAACCAAAAGATGTAGCAACAATGAGACAACCCCTAAAACAGGACTGGTTTTGCATGCAGAGGCCCTTTCAAGTTTCTTCTTGGTCCTTTTTGGCTGGTGTCCCACTAGTGCTGGCTTTGGCAAGAGTATGGGAGTATGAGACCATTTCTTAACCCTACAGAAGTTGCACAGATTGTCCAGCTTCTCCAGGATGGCACATTCTGACGTGCTGGATATTCTCCAAAACATGGAGGAGATTTCAGGAGACAGGCAGTTGCTCTATGGGAGGGAGGGACAGGCCTGTAGAAGGTCCTCAACCCATCAGCAGGATGGTCCCATATCTGCTCCTTTGTGCAAGGAGGAACAGGTTGAGCACTGCCTGTGCCTTACAGAATGACCTCCAGAAGGCCACTGGTGTGAATATGCCCAAACAATCAGAAACAGACTTCATGAGGGGGACTTGAGGGCCCCATGTCTTGTAATGGGCCCTGTGCTCACCCCCAAGACCTTGGAGCTCCATTGGCATTTGCTAGACAACACCACAATTGGCAAGTCCTCCACCGCTGCTCTGTGCTTTTCATAAATGAGAGCAGGTTCACCCTGAGCACCTGTAATATGACAGAGTCTGGAGACGAAAAGGTGAATGATATGTTGCTTGCAACATGGTTCAGAATGAGTGGTTTGGTGGTGGGTCAGTGATGGTCTGGGGAGGTATATGTATGGATGGACACCCAGACCGGCTAGAAAATTGCAGTCTGACTGCCATTAGGTATTGGGATGAAATCCTTGACTCCCATACGCTGCCACAATAGGTCCTGGGTTGCTCCTGATACACGAGAATGCTCGGGCTCATGTGGCAAGAGTACGCAGGCAGTACCTGAAGGATGAAGGGACTGATACTATAGTAACTTCTTGACCAACCTTATAGCCGCTCGAGAAGATCAGAGTGGGTCCTGACGTCATAATTTTGTGACGTGATTGGAGATGATTGTAAACAGATATGCTGGGATCCAGAATGCATTTTGGACACATATCTGACATATCTATCACAGCAAAGAAAATGGATGGGACCAGTTGGAAAATAAAGGGTAAGTATAGAGGAATAGTGGTGGTCAAATTGCCACCCAGCCCTGACCTTCAACCAAGCTGAGTAACAGGTAAGTGCGCATGTTTACACCCTTACACACACACACACACACACACACACACACACACACACACACATATGCACGTACACCTGCCCATGTGAGCCCCACCCCCTCTACACCAGAGCAACATACCCACACCCTCAACAACACAGTGCACCAGTCCTATCTCCTACAGATACAATTGAATTGCCCTCATGATCACCTGATTTAAACACGGTAGAACACCTCTGGGACATTATGTTTGGGTCCATCAGACACCACCAGGTTGGTCCTCAGACTCTACAGGAGCTCAGTGATGCGCTCACACAGATCTGGGAGGACAACCCACAAGACACGATCCGTGGTCTCATTAGGAGCATGCCACAACGTTGTCAAACATGGATACATGCAAAATATTGAAAAGTTACAGAAATTCAGTTTTGAAATTCAATTATTTCAGTTTGATTTTCAGAGTGTTTATAAAATTGAGCACTCTGTAGGCTGATATTTTTTAGTTTTTGTTTTTTTTTAGATCAGACATGTTCTTAAAGTATTCCTTTAACTTTTTTGAGCAGTATATTATTTACTTTAATACTTATATGACCTATTCATATAAATAATTGTATGCCCAGTGTTTATAGTTATCTAATTTAGGTCATCGCAGAGGCAAAAGAAACCTACTTAAAGGTGCACTATGTAACTTTTCTGGTGGGGTGTACACCACTGCCTGGTGATGTAATTGCCTTGCTTAGAATGTTTCACAGTATGGCATTAGGTGACAAGTCCAGTGACATCATAAGGTCAAAGTTACAAAACATTTCTCTAGAGATGCGACCCTGCTCAGTATGAGAACGTAATGCTTTTCAAGGCAGATTTGAATCATAAAAAAATCCACTGAATCAATTCAAGATAAACGTCTAATACTCAGGATCATTCCAGTAACAGCTCCATGGAAACGATATTCCCTCCAGAACACTAAAATGTAACTAATATAACTAATACTACTCCAGTTATACCTCAGCTTCCATAGTGTTTATGAGGTACTTTATAAATAACTGTTACGACCCAGCTCGTTTGGGGTGAGGGAAGTAACAAAAAAATAAAACCAAGATGTAAAATGGAATAAATTAAATAATGTTTAATTAACAGGAATGTAAAGATAAATTAACAAAAGACTAAAATATACAGAAAACAACCTAAACTAAGAAACAGAACAACAGAATAAACAGTGTTTTCTGCCACAAAAGGGGTCACGCAGGCTTACAAAAAACAAGAGGTGAAATTAAGGGACACACACTAAACTAAACACAAGTTTCCCAAATTAAACCACATAAACCCACAAGCAGAATCGAGTGACCAAATCAAAAAAGGCACAAAATAGAACAAAGCTAAACTACATACACGAAACCAAAATAGTATATTGGCCACCAAGGCCAGCAGCCCCGAACAGGTGCTAGTAATCTCCTTAAATAGGGGGAGGTGGCTACAGGTGAGACGTCAACCTGCCCCACCAATCATGGACCAGGGCTCCTGCAGCAGGAATCAAGAGAACACGGCAAAAATTACACAAACAAATTAGAACTAAGGCCTGGGGCCGTAATAATAACATGTTCTTGTAATTTCCTTTAGGAAATAAGTTTTTGTGAATTTGTTACACTTACATTGCAATTATTATTACAATAACAATGCACTGGATTTAAATAACACCTTAATGGTGCTTTATTCAGTCACTACACCAGCACTGTCTCATCAATTCAAAAGAGAACATTCAGCTCTGCTACCTCTGTGCTCATCACACCAGGACCAAACCAGGACACTGGGCTCTCACCCTGAGAGCAGGCTGCCCTATGACTGTCAAACTAAAATAATGAGGATCCAAATGGAACTACAACCCGTGCTACTACCTATTTTTTCCTCACGTATACTGTATGAAGAGAGTAGCATGCATGGAATGATAATCTCACAACTCCTTTCCTTTTTGAGTCTCAAAATGTAGAACTTCACTGACAAATGTTTAACACTAGATGTCGTTAGAGTCTCGCATTTCACGCAAATTTAACCATGACATGAAATGTCTTTAGCCTACATCTAGGCTATTTAATAGGATGTATTTCATTTTTGCATATGGCTTTTTAGGATTCTTTGCATAAGAAAGCATATTGGCTTGACTGCAGTTGTTATGATTTTGGCAAAAAGAACTGACAACTTTTTTCCTGGTCAATAGGCGTATGAGATGAGAGGGGGAGTTAAAGAGATGCTTCTAGCGCGTGTGCAGCAGCGGTAGTAGCCGTGGCGGCAGTCAGCAGCCCATCCTCCGCTCCATGTACCCTGGTCTCTCCCGTGCAGCCCTTCTCCTTCCCGCTCACTCTATATTTCATCCCTTTGTGTTTTGTTTAGCGCGTGGACATGTCTGCCAGACCGGGGTTTTACCGACAGGAGCTGAATAAGACCGTCTGGGAGGTACCGGAGCGCTATCAGAACCTAACGCCGGTGGGCTCCGGGGCGTACGGCTCCGTGTGGTGAGTGTTTGTCTGGGGCACGGTGCGTGTGGAGAGGGGCGAGGCACTAGCACAGTATTTTAGGAGACACAGGCTGGTGGTATGATGCAGTAGCGCAGCAGTGCCAAGCCTATGGTCCGCTGTCTAACAGTGTTGTTGTTCTCACTGACAGTGCGTAATTAGCTTGTGTAGTAGACTGAATCGAAAACCTATAGGTCTTTATGTCAACTCAATCAATTTGTGTTGTTCCAATTGTGTACTTAGATGGGAAATGTCCCCAAGTCATTTCTGGAATAATCTCCAATGGAGGTTAACAAACATATACATTTTCTTATTTATGGGGGGAATTCTTATGTTGAGTTTTAAGGTGGTGAAAATAAAATAAACTAATAAAACAGATATGACTAGAAGTAGTCTGGTTAATGCACTGTAGCCTGGAAGATACTTTTACACATCTGATAATGAAATAGACATCTTTGTAACACCAAAATAATTTAACAGTACAGTGGTAATTTATGACAGATTATGAATTAAATATGCTTTTGTTTAAATGAATAATCTGTAATATTGATGTAAACATGGGGTTTCAGTGAAGACTACTCTATAGCCTGCTAAAGCAAATGTTGACAGTTGCATTCAGGGTTAGAATCCTCAACAATCCTCAATGTAAAACTTTATTTTCTAAACCTTGAAACCACCTAAAAGTATAAGGCATTTAGAATTTTACATGATCACTTAGGTGCAGTGTGTAACATTTCTAGTGGTGGGTTTGCCACCTGTTTGCCTCCAGGAATTGTAATTCCTTGAATCTTTCACACTACAGATTAAATCTATCACAAGGGAGACACACACAGGTGACATGACTACGCCACATTACAATTCAGATCTGTGGAGAGTCGTCTCCATTCACAGAAGCAATAGAAAGACCTTTAATGAATAAATGGATGAATATGTTTAATGTCATAACATGGAACATTCCAGGCAAAACAATCAACATCTCCATGGAGACAAGTAGGTAGTGGACCTTCCACCAGAAAAGTTGCTTAATGCACCTTTAACTAGGTCTACGCATTCACATTTTACAGTAAAGAAGAGAAATGTGTAACTGGCTGTTCTATGTGGCTCATCTTACTGTGAAATTGTATCTTTTTTAGTGATTTCAAAGTCGATGTGAGAGCCATATTACAAAAGACATACATGACCATTAGATTCACCACAAGTCTAATGTGATTGGACAAACCGTTAAAGCTACATTGCTGCATTTGTGGTCTATCATTGGCTGACAGTAATGTTCCTACAAATGTTCAATTAGCCTAGCTGTTTCTAAAATAGTCTATTTCCTTCTAGTAATCTATATAAAGTACATTGAACTGGCTGGAGACCAATTCGACTTGCAGAGTATATGGGAAATATCTGAAACCGGCAGTGAAAACAATAAGATCTGCAACATTTGGATCAACTTGGCTTTGGGAAAAGATTAGATTAGATTAGTTTGTCATGCAGTGATCAAGTTATTATTCCAATTAAGATTTTGGAATAATAGATATGTATTTATTTTATTAAAAACACTGTATACCTGGGTGGTACAAAATTCTGTCTAACCTAATATAATCTTGTACACCTAATCTTGTTGTACACTTTTGTCAGACATATCTCTGGCATTAGGCTCAGGTTTCCACGGTGAAGTGTGAGAGTGATAACTACTGTCAGTGGATCTTGTTTTGGCGGTATACCTCGGAAAGTGTGCTGGGAATGTGCTGGGAAAGAGGATAAGATCTGAGGAGGTAGTAAATCTGTAGAGCAATTTAGATGCAGTTTGCTTACATTTTAGTTTGGTCATAGTATTGGCACATATAGGAAAACAGGTTCCTTTTTCCTGTTAAATTTATGTCAGTCTTTGGACAGTTTCAAGGTATGCATCAAAAGAATAAGAGGTGTGGTTTATCAGGTGGAATGATTTGTGGAGTGAAATAGTGATTTATTTCCAAGAGTGTGTTCAAATGACCGCATCAATAATACAATGCTGTATGATTTTTTTGTAAGCATGTAGCAAGATCTATGTCTCTCATAACACCTATAAATGTAGGTTTATGTGGGCAAACATCTTTTTTGTTTTAGCATAGCCAGTACAATAATATTAATAACCATAGGCACTATTTTCTATACATTACTCTTTCAAAAAGGCATCCTTTTTTTCTAAAAGGCTATATTTTTTTTTCCAAAAAGTCAGATAGTAAAATTCTGATAACCTCTAATTGTACAAAATTTACTTCTAGGCTTCATCTCAGATTAGTTTACAGAATATCTTACTCCACTCTCATCTGGATGCACTCCAATGTTAGTCTAATTATTCTCTCTATTCTCATTACACACTTTTCTCTGTTTATTTAAACAATGGTACACTTGCACACCTTACAGCTAAGTGATTTTATAGCTGGTGTTGTACATGGACACCCATTGCGTATAGTCCAGTGTGAAACTCTATACAGTGCACTCGGAATAGCTCAGCCTCAAACTGCCATATTAGCCAGAGAAATAGATCATTAGTTCCTCCCATGCAGCTCTTACATCCAAGAATGTTATGCACACTATCTGCACTTTAGAGCAAGCCGCTTATCATCACTGAAGTAAATTATATTGACTTCGCATCTTCAATTTGCACAATTCATCCAGTATTTACTCTGCAGCATGTAAAATAACCACTGTCTTAACCATCAGCCACAGAGCCTGTTTACTTCTCTTTTGCCCCAAGCAAAGATTCTTTCTCCAAACTTTCACGCCGTGCACAATTTGAGAAAGTATTAAGCACTTCAAGAGGCCTAGTCAAGCCATAGCCAAGGCTATCCAAGGTCAAAACACAAATAACACAATAATATAATTAGATAGAGACATGGAATAAGTCATGTTATTTTTGAACTGGATCAAAACTTTTTGCAATACACTTAAGGTCCTATATTACATCAAATTGACTCTTGTGAGCTTTAAGCCATGTGATAATACCTAAAAATTTATTTTGTTTTACACATGTGAACTAGTAACTCTTTATTGTTAGTCTGTCTACATCTCCAAAGCTCAAAATGCTCTGTTCCACCTTGTGATGTCATGTAGTGGTAAGTTTCAAGTTAACAGCTACCTTTTACCTTTAGTTCAGTAGAGATTGGCATTTCTAGGGCTGAAATTATCAAAATGATTCTAGTGAAGATGAATTGAGTTTAAAAACACAGTGGAGCACTTCCTGAATTACCACATGATATCAAAACCTTGAACAGAGTGTTTTCTGTTTGAAATATGCAGGGTTTGTGTTTTAAATGTGTGAATGAAACAAATACAATTCCAGTTATGTTTTTGATGAGGAGACAACATAAATATGAGACCTTTGAAGGCGCACTATGTAACTTTTCTGGTGGGCATTTCTTGTCTTCACTGAGATGATATTACTTTGCCTGGAGTGTAGTCTCCATTCCCTGGTGACAAGCAAGTGATACCACCGAACCAGGTTACAGTTCCAATCTGTGGAGAGGTGACGTGTTCACAGCAAGATTGCATGTTTTTTATGATTTTGGCAATAAAAAACACCTGTTATCAAATAAATGCATGATAGATGTGTGTAAAGATGCTGTACCTGATTTTTATTGTCTGAAAAAAGGGAAAAAGTGATTAAAAGCAGTTATCTAAAGTTAGCCCTCACTTACCACATGCATTCTAAGCATCCCAATTATTCACCACAGTTAGTTTATAAGTGCTTTTCCGAACTCTCAGAGACCAGAGCAGAGTTTTGCCATGATGGGAAAGCTAACAATGACTAGCATGCTAACTCATACTTAATAATTAGATGCAGACAGCAAGCAGCAGACTTATTTTGATCTCAATAGCTACTTGTATAATATCTGTACTGGGGCAAGGTAGATGGTACAGGACCTTTGATGCCTCCATGTGTAAAGTTAAGTTATAGTTATAGTGTGATGCTATCGGTTACAAAGCACATTCCTGCAGTGGTCCCCCTGTCTGACCTGTATTGTTGAGGCTGATCTCCATCCATTGTCATTGACTTTCTCATGGGATGACTTGATTAGCACAGGCAGGGGGAGGGGTGCTGTGACATAGACCCTTTTGGTTGCACCAAAAACCTGGGCAAATAGCAGTACATTAATTCTAATTTGGATGCTTGTTAGCAATGTCATATTAAAAGATGTGATTATTATATCCAGTGTTGACTTGCAATTCCAATATACTCCTTCTTCAGAATATTTGTTTTATTCTTCAGGGTGGAATATTTTTGTTACATTGTGTAAAAATGGCATCCCTGACTGTGCTGTCTCTTATGGGACTGTGAACAGAGAATGTTAGGATCATGTGTTGTTTTCTTTGTTTTAGAGCCAAGACGAGACAGATGCTGTGGATCTTAGGGTAGGATTGAACAGAATTATGTAATTCAGTGGAGCAATGTTCAGTAAACCCAAGCACAAATTTTACAATTTGTCAATTTTGACTGCTTATATTTTTTTCCTTTCTGGTCATACATTTTGCTATATATTGTGTACCCAGATGAAGATGAAGTTTGAAATACCAATACTGAATAACCCTATAGTTTCTATTACTCAAGTATACTATCTGTGTACTAGTACAGTTGTTCCTTGTTTTGTACTTCTGCCCTATTCTCACAACAGCAAATACTACAGTTGATATTACTACCAATTTCAGATGGAACTTCTGTTTTTACCAATGTGTGTACCAATAAAATTTCCCAAATTATTATGAAAGCTAAAACAATGTGTTATCTGTACAGTTATCATTCAAGACTCATGCATTTCTATTAGGAGAATATAATTGACATGTATATACAGTGTTGGGAAGGTTACTTTTAAAATGTATTCACCTACAGATTACAGATTACATCCCCCACAATGTAGTTTGTAACGTAATCCATTAAATTACTTAAAGTGAGTAACGTAATCTGAATACTTTGGATTACTTGATATTGTCATGCTTTTTAAAATGACATGAATGTAGCAACCACATCCTGAAAATTCATGTTTGTTCTCTTCAAATTGTCTGTTGAGCCCAAGTCTCCATGAACAGACTTTTTTTTACTGTAGAGAAGCAAAGACAAGGATCTGAACATACGATGTTTTGTTTTATCTGATAAAAGAAAATAAGAAGCCCAGTCTTTACTTAATCATATTAAAAATATTATTGATAGAGAAATGATTTTTATATGAGATCACTGCTGCCTGAAATTATGTTCACCTACTGTTAGGTGTCCTGGTTTAGACCTGGTTTAGTTGAGGTTTAGACCTGGTTTAGACCTGGTTTAGTTGAGGTTTAGACCTGGTTTAGTCCTGGTTTAGACTTGGTTTAGACCTGGTTTAGTCCTGGATTAGTCCTGGTTTAGACCTGGTTTAGTCCTGGATTAGTCCTGGTTTAGACCTGGTTTAGACTTGCTTTTAGACCTGGTTTAGTCCTGGTTTAGTCCTAGTTTAGTCCTGCTTTTAGACTTGGTTTAGACCTGTTTTAGTCCTGTTTTACTCCTGGTTTAGTCCTGGTTTTAGTCCTGGTTTAGCCCAAAATGTAAAAACAGGAAAATACTGCCTTGTAATCCATTTATTTCAACAAAGTAACTGTAATCCAATTACCACTCACTGAAACAGTAACTGTAACTGAACACAGTTACTCATAATTTGTACTCTGATTGCGTAACTCCGGTACATGTAATCCATTACTCCCCAACACTGTGTATATAGCAAACATATGCAGTGGGCCCATCTCAGCTGTTTTATGTGCTCTCCGAATAAAATGTAACATCTGTTCATATAATATAGAGCTGGCATGAAGCCTTCCATTTGGATAAAATGAATCAAACACGCCTGCCTGGTTTTCTCATGTCAAAATTGTTGTCTTTGCTTGTCACAATTATTTGAAGGTGATAGACTGAGAACAGACCAACACTGGGTTTGTGGTAATTAATCATATGTCTGACACAAATCTATGCAAGCTGCATGTGTCTGTTAAAACAGCCATGTAATCTTGGCTAAACTGCATGTTATTGATTCATCAAATATTTCTGCACACGTTCTGAGTAAGCTTTGCCATTTTTTCTTCCCTCAAACATCTGAATCGGAGAGTTGGAAAGGTAGCTATATCATATAAATTATGGCTGTTCTAAGATGAATTTCAAATGATGACTTCTGTTCAGTCAATAAACTTGTAGAAAAGGTATAAACCTAATTTAAAAAGGTAATATTTTAAGACACTTTTTTCAAAGCTCAAATAGTTTAGTGGCTTTATTCCAGTTTTTTATCATCATTCTGAACAAAATCTAGTTAATTAGATTTTAATTTACAGCATTTTTGTACCAAAACAAAGCTCTCTTTGATGAGCAAATATGGCTGCATTAATATGTAGGCATATAATCTCTCTTAATATAAATTTTCACACATTTGTTTTTTTTTTGTTTTTTTTTTTTTTCATTCAGTCCATTAGCAGCAGAGATAAATAATGTTATGACTAAAGTGAAGTAATCAATGACCATGCTCTCACCATGCAGCAGCAGTAGTCCCTTGTATGGAAGCTGGCACAGAAAAGGGATAGGCCTGGCTCAGATCAGACAGACAGGCTGCTGCCCTTCTGGAGCCTGGCGGGGCATCCGGGCACCAGATGAATACTGAACCATATGGATCGACTCTGCCTGGACTGTTGCAACAAAGGTATAGGCTACAGTTACATACAATAAATAAAGTGGGAATAACAATAATAAGTAATAGTTTTTCAGAATAAACAGTGAGGTGACTGATAATTACATTGTATTATAGCACAGCACTTTCTTTAGTTTGGAGGATAAGAGTATAAGGCCAAGCAATGTTATATGGTTGCATTTTCTTTTCTCCGTCCACTCCTCCTACTGGTCAGCCTCCACCATTCTCTGGGTGATGTGGATCGATCCCATGACAGACTAGTGGGAACTTTCAAGATAAGCTTAAGTTACCTCCAAAAGCCAATATAAAACTGTCAAGAAAAATATTGATAAAAGAAAGAAACGTATGTTGGGCTAGTAAATAAAAAAACATAATAAATGATGCAACCACATGTTATGGCCACGGGCCTCTGGCTCCGTCTATATATTTTTAAAAATCTCTGTGCGCGTGCAAGCCTCCGACTACAGATGGCTGTGATTGGAGGATTCAATTTAAGACAGCACCTGGAGACCCTCCTGCTGATTGGTGGAAGCCATAACACCTGACCAATCTTGGGCCTACACCTGGAGGACCAGCCCTATAAAAGGACCCGCCCCCTGCCACTCATGGCAGCTGTCTGTCTGTGGACTTGCCTGCTGGCTTTGTGTCTCTCGTGGTGTATTTTGTTGAGACACTATAGTCCTTGTGACTTAGACTGGTTTTGTTTTTCTGTATCATTTTGTATACCCTGTTTTGGTTAGCATACTTTTAGTTATACATTTAGCTACTCTGTTTAGAGCCTCTTTTTGTTAATTCTTGTAAATATCATTCTTTTAGTTTTACCTTACAATTCTTTTAAGTAAATCACAGCTTTAGTTTTACTATTTCTACATCTTGGTTATTTTGTTACTTCCCCCTGTCCCTAGCAGAGCTGGGTCGTAACACCACACACAGAAATCGTTGTGGCCGCTATTAAAACTATATGTATTCTGTTGCCTGGTTTGTATGTGCACTGCTTTTGCAAGATTTCTCAATCCTGACCCCATTTCCTTCCTGTTTGTATGACAGCGGTATTGCATTGAACAGTTCTCAGGCGTGAAGAGACATTGGCAAAGACAAGAGCGGACTGGAGAAAAAATACGGCATACAATATTCGGAATGACATTTACATTTCAAAAGAAGGAACACAACACCATGTTCTTGCAGAATCTGACAACCTCAATTCTCCAGTTCAACCACATCCTCTCACTCTTTATGTGTTATCGACTTATTTGGTTGTCTATCCCATAGAGTACAGTTGACTGACAATTTTTGTTTTCTTTTTTACTCACTTGCTTCTTGTTATAAGATACACTTACATGAGACTAATGAGTCAGAAAAGAGTGACAGGTGATAAAGAGAGCATTAAATGAAAGGACTGGGAAGCAGACAGGAAGTTACACTAGAGGTAGCAGAGTTTAAGATGTTCAACTCCTCTATGGGAATGTAAAGGTTTGTGGTAAGTGGTGAAGTGGTAATTTAAGGATGTTGAGGTTAAAGTGATGTCACCAAGTACTTACAATCACAGACGCTATTGCACTAACATAGAATCAAGTGTTTGTGACCAAAAAACTGCAGATTAACCTAGTTTGCAATGAAGTTTCCAAAAATGATTGGGGGCAGTAGATAAAGCTGTTAAAACACAATATACATTGTTTTATAGTAAAAAAGTGTTTCACTTAAAAGCTATTAGCCAGAATTCCCAGAGGTAGACCAATATATTGACCAATATTTGCACTTTTTATTGCAAAAAGTAACTGCATTGCTCAGTCTGTGGATCTAGCCTCAAAAAATCAATATTGTCACTGGCCATGAAAAAGCCTGTATTGGATGTAATAGAGGACATAAAGTCAAATGGCAAGTGAAAAAATTTAGAAGATAGATACAGCAGATTGGTATTGATTCCAAAACTAAAAATGATGATGTGACTGCTCTACACCTGTCCTAAAATAATGGGCAAAGAGTTGCATATTCTAGGATATATTCTTTGAATACCACTCCAAACTCAATATGTTCTTTATGTGTTCTTTCCCTAGTTCTGCTTATGACGTGGTGCTGCGTCAGAAAGTTGCTGTGAAGAAGTTATCCAGACCGTTCCAGTCCCTAATCCACAGTCGGAGGTCATATAGAGAGCTGAGGTTACTCAAACACATGAAACACGAGAATGTAGGTATTTTTGTAAGTATTTAAAAATATCAGAAATACATGTTTGGTCTAGATCTACCCTGTTTGCCTGTGTCTGTGCAGGTAATAGGACTGCTGGATGTCTTCACACCTGCTGCTGCTCTTGAGGATTTTAATGAGCTGTGAGTCAATGTGATCCTATTTATATATCCTATTCTGCTAGTTTATATTTTACATGATAAAATAAGGCAAGCTAAACTGTAAATCCATAACTTTCTTGTTGTAAGGCATTTTGGCAAATCGTTAAATTTAGCAATGGAACAAAAGACAAAGATGCACTAACTAACTTTTCTGGTGGGGCAGTGCATTAAACAAAACGTTTCTTTTTTTTTATTGCAAAAAATTCAGGTGAAAATCATGCCTTTGTACTTTGAGCAGGTCACCTCTCCACAGATCTTCCCAGTATCTTGGCCTCATGGCAACACTTGCTTCTCTTTATGAAGATAGATAACGTTAATGCAATATTGTGGAACATTCTAGGCAAAGCAAAACCATCTTTATAGAGACAAAAAGGTGGCAGACCCTCCACCAGAAAACTTACAAAGTGCAGGTTATTTATAAGTTAAGAATTGTTCGAATGTCCAAGAAACAGTTCCATATGTGCCTTGTCTCCACTGATGCTGGTTCATTCATGTTGATGAGGTTCACACACTTCTGGAGATGTCTGCTGGTTTCCATGGCAGCCACTGTTCCCCTCCCCCCTTAAACCTGTCTTTCCCCTCTGACGCTGCTTCACTCTTATGTCTTTGTCTCCCCTTTCACCACAGCTACCTGGTGACCAACCTGATGGGTGCCGACCTCAACAACATTGTGAAATTTCAGAGACTGTCGGACGAACATGTACAGTTTTTAATCTACCAGCTCCTCCGAGGGCTCAAGGTAATTTAGCGCATCACTAATTACCTGCTGCATATGCAATATGCTGTGCAATGGGAGTAAAGAGTTCAGCAGTCTTTAACTTGTAATTGAGATGTTAGGATGGTTTCTTCTAGTGGGGCTGGATACGGACTGGCTGGACTTACAATATTTCCACCTATTACTTGATTAACCAGTCTGGATTAGTAATAAATCATGCTCATAAAATTCACACTGAACACTGGGCCTGGTACAATCTTATTAAAGGTTGACTACTAAAGGTGACTACTTTTGTACCGTTATTGCAATATGAATGTTGTGTTAGTTAGAATATATTGATTTGTCTTATTATTAACCAGCAAGCCCAGTCATTTACAGTAAAGCAAACCAGAGCACTTTTTCTTTAGACTGCTCTTGTGAATTGCACTATTGACCTATTGACTCCTTTCTTTCCTCTCCCTCCTCTCTTCCACTGCCCTGCCCATGTGCTGTCGAACAGTACATTCACTCAGCAGGATTAATACACAGAGTAAGTGTATGACTGATATTTACTTTACCGTAATCTGGTAGAAAATGTGCATACTAAATCTATAGAGGTGACATGTTTGTTGGTGTCTGTAAACTGAATTCCCTCTATTGTTACATGAAGTTGTCAGTTGTTTAATTTTATTTATTTCATGTTAAATGCAAATATTCTTCTGTTCTTCTGCATAGGCATACTAGTATCTCGAGGTAAACAAAGATAAGATAATCGGAACATTTTATTTTTTCATAGAGGAAATTATTCAGTTGCGTAAGCCAATAAATCATTAAACACATAACCTTCACTAATAAAAGCAATCATTATTCTGCTGGGGTAATTGCAAATATGTGTTATTAATAAAGAGTATAATAAGCCTTATAAGGTCAAATATATTTCACAAAGCAAGTTTCCCTCTTCCTAGGACCTAAAGCCCAGTAACGTTGCAGTCAATGAGGACTGTGAACTCAGAGTAAGATTCACCATTTATGATATTCTGCTCTTTACTTAAACAAACTGCTGAATAAAGATAAAAAGTAACACTGTTGACTTGTGATTTTTAGATCTTAGACTTTGGCCTGGCCCGACAGACAGATGATGAGATGACAGGGTACGTGGCTACTCGCTGGTATAGAGCGCCAGAGATCATGCTCAATTGGATGCACTACAACCAGAATGGTGAGGAAAATACTATAAATCCTGCTGTGAATGAGCACTGTCTACATGTCTAAACTATTTTGTCTGTGTTCCAGTTGACATATGGTCTGTGGGATGCATCATGGGAGAGCTTATAAAAGGAAAGGTTCTGTTTCCTGGTTCTGACTGTATCCTTTTACTAAATATCATCAGCTACTACTTTTATACTTTTTTTGATTCACTTTTACCTCTATTACTAACTACTACACCAATGGCACTAACATTATTGGGGAATATTTAGAGATCATATAATAAAGTAGTTTATTATGTGTTAGAGCCCGACCGATATGGATTTTGTTGTGGCCGATATGAAACTGATATAATGGGAGTTGGCGCTGCCGATAGCCGATATAATCGCCGATATATTTAGTGATGTAAAAATTCACTGTAAATCTTGAATTGTTTAAAAAACTTAGGTTTGGCTCTAATGGATTCTAAATTGGGTTTATTTAGGCAACATTTATCGTTATTCTGACACTTAACATCATATTTACATACAGTAGATTGGCCTAATGGCATTTTTGCATCACATTCTAGCTACTAGTGATGGGTATTCCATTTTTTTTTTTTTTTTTTTGGAGAACCGGCTCTTTTGGCTCGGCTCACAAAAGCAGCTGGCTCTTTCGGCTCCCAAGCGACTCTTGATTGTTTTGTTGCAAGCAGGACTAAACCAAAACTGAACCAGGACTGAAAAAGGACTAAACCAGGACTAAAACAGATTTAAACCATGTGTAAAACAGGACTAAACCAGAACTGAACCAGGACTGAGTGTCGGGACTCGGTCTCCATCTCTCTCTCAAGCCCAAGATTAGTCCTGCTTTATTCATTTTATGCTGAACTGCAGCCAAATATGCACCTTTTTTTTATCCTATGCACACGCAGATTTCTGAAAGTTTCGTTTTCAGCCGCTGCTGCTGTCAAACTACGGGTCTACAAGCGGCTTGAAGAGAAAAAGTGAGAAAAAGAGAAAACACGGCTCCCAATAAGAAACATGCTCCCGTTGTTCGCTCTAAGAGCCGCTTCGATCGCGACCGACCCATAACTAGTAAATAAACAATCGCTATTAGCCTTTAGCCGTAAAAACGTGCGCACCGCGGTAATTAATTATATGCATAAATGTGGATCATTCACACGTCTATTCACAGCTCATTTACATATCAATGCTGGTCCAGGAACAAATATACGGCCAATACAGTCACTTTACAATAGACCAATAGAAAACAGTCTGTTTATGTGCGGGAGCTACAGCAGCTAATCGCTAACAGATAACCTAAACTAGCTTCAAAGTCGATGTATTTCCAACACTCACCGCTCACACAGGCTCCTCCTCACATCACAAGTCTGCACTAATAAAAGTCCTTTTAATCCAGACTCAAGCCGATTGTTCGTAAAAAGAAAATAATCTCAGTGTTGCGCACCGCTGCGGGTGTAAACAAGAACACGTGAGTGAAGTGGCGTGACTCTGTGGTGTGTTCAGGGACAGTACGGACACAAATTACATTACGTTACGCAAATAAATACTGATTCGGAGCCACATATTAGGACATTGATCTGTCTATAAATTTGATTAAATGAACATAATGTAGAGAGTCTAAGCTTTATAACGAGGTATAACATGCCCACGTGAAATATCGGCCCATATCAGCAAGCATATCGGCCGATAGCCGATATGTCTCCAGGTGCCCATATTGGCCGATATATCGGTCGGGCTCTATTATGTGTTGTTGCATGTATATAATTGCATGTTCTAACGTTACCTCCCCTTAACCTATTGTGAAACTAGATATTGACCAACTAAAACGAATCATGGAGGTGGTGGGGACCCCAACACCAGATCTACTGCAAAAAATCTGCTCTGAACATGTAAGTGGTGTAAATGTATAGATCTAAAGAGGGGGTGCACTTTGACAATGTTTAAATCAATGGCCATCCCCTGCTAACCTGGTAAGTGATGTGATTGATTAGCCTTTGGGGACACAGTAGTTAAGTGAATTGTCTGTATGTGTCACTGCAGGGTGTGATGGAGAACCTATAGCAACACTTTGTCACTACAAATGAAAGCAGAGTCAGATAACAATTTATTGTTATTGCATTATCTATACTCCATGTAGCTCTTCTACGAGAAACCACATCCACTGTGTTGCATTAGCTTTCTGTTCATCCATAAATGTTTTAAAGAGCAGTAGGACGCCCTGGAAGAAGCAATAATACCTCAATGGGGCCACAGTAAATAAAATAAAATACAGGTCTTTAATATCTTTAAACTCATTATATTCTTCATGAAAAACATGACTTGTTTAATTTACTCACATTTGAGTAATCTGTATTATTTTCCTTTTCATCTTCTCAGGACTTGTCCTCAAATTGCACTCAAATTGCCTGACCAACTAATAACAGCTAGCAGCCATTTCAACAGCTTCACACCTCAGTGCAACAGCATATTTATATTTTACATAATTTATTTCAAAAGAATATTTAATTCTATGAACTGGACACAGAACCTGGATGAGAGGGACTATACAGACGTTGTATTATTTAGATATAAAGTTATACAAGTTTCAATAACAAGACTAACTTGCCAAAAGGTTGTATCAAATTCTGATAAATGCTAAATAATCAAATGACTGACCAAACTTTGCTTTGTTACAGGCACAGAAATACATCCAGTCTCTGCCCTACATGCCCCCACAAGACTTGGAGAAGATCTTCAGAGGAGCAAACCCTCTAGGTGATCGATTTGCTGTTGATTTGATTACCAAAGTCTTTAATTTAATTCACAAAGGCCACTGCATCTCAAGTTGCTGTCTACATGATGCCAAATAGCTTTTCAGATGGTTCTAAAAGGATATTTCTGCTTCTATTTCCAATACTCTGTCTTTGGTCTGTTTCGACACAGCCGTAGACCTCTTAAAGCGCATGCTGGTTTTGGACTGTGATGGGCGGATCTCGGCGAGTGAAGCTCTGGCCCACCCGTACTTCTCACAGTACCACGATCCAGAGGACGAGCCCGAAGCCCCACCTTATGACCAAACTCTAGAGAGCAAAGACCGCACCCTAGAGGAATGGAAAGGTACGACGCAGAGTTACTACAGTAAAAAGGAAGGATTGATTCAGATCAGTTATTGCAGTGGTTCTCTAACTTTTTGCACTAAGTACACCTAAGAAAATACATTGTACAACCAGATCTAAATCAGGCCTAAATCAGGATTATACCAGAAAATAAAATTGAAAATCAGTGGTATCACAGATTGAGAAACATAAAGTAATTGGATTTATATACTTACATTATGAACACTACATCTTTGAAATAGTTTGGATAATGTTATTTATTGTTCATGGCAATTCACTAAAATAAAACACATTATGTGGCCATATTCTATTATCAAGTAATGCAGTGCATATAATCTAAAGTATCAGTGTATAAATAAAAGTATATTTGATTGCATTACTTAATCCAAATAAATAAATAAATAAATAGAATATACTAACACCGTACATTTCACTAAGCTTCTGAAACCAGATGGTCTGAAAGTGTGAAAGCTTGCATTTGTGTTTGAGGTTCCGGAGAGTTGACTTCATTATAAAGTTATGGATCACAGCATATTTTTAAGTACGCTTTAAGCACAGTGATGTGTCAGTACAACTCAGATCTGGGGGAAGTGTAAGCCAGTGAGTTGGAATGCTTAAAGTTGTTTTGAAAATTAGATTCAACTCAATGTTATTAGCCCTGGAACTCAGACTATATTGATATGTATTCGCTAATATCCAGTAATGCTCTTTATTATGTTTACAGAGTTGGTTTTTGAAGAGGTGAACAGTTTTAAAACTCCAGTCTGCAGTGGTGACAGTCTTCAGGCAGAGCAATAAGCCTCTAATGGCTATGAACTCATTCTAAGTGAAAGGAAGACTGGAACATGAGTATGATTATAAACCTATGACCAAGGCCAAGAATATGCCCTGCTCAGTTTTGCCTTCTTCAGGTTCATCTGAGCAAAATACTGGGACAATCTCCAATGTATCAGAAAGCTGGACTTCAGGGATGACTATGAATGGAAGGATTCATACAAGGATGCAACTTAAACTGTTTACAAAGAAGGAAAAATGCACTCTAGGATTTCCAAAGTGACAGCACATATGGACCATCAACTACAATGGCTTTAGAATACTAGAATATACACAGCCAGCCATAGCATTGTAAGCATATAGGACTGAATGGAAAGAAATGGGAGCCCCTGAACCAATCAAAGGGTTGACAACAGGATAATTAATCAGTTGTTTATATGGGCCGTATATATTTAGATAATTACAATTAGGCCTGCACAAATTATTCCAGTTTTGTGTCAAGTATTGCAATTGCAGTTTGATTTTCAATTTATGTTTAAAAAGTAGGATTCTGTTCAGAGTGCGCAATGCAAACAACTCCAGCATTCAGAGAAGACAAACTAATACAAGAATCACATGACAAACTAATACAAGAATCACATGAATTTCAGAACATGTTTGTTGATTTGTCTATAAAAATACATGATACTTCGTTCTTTGCAGAGGGCATTCTATTAGCGAAATAAATGAAGTCTTTGTGATGTGTTACTTTCATTTGATTGGGATATTGTGCAGCCCTGTTTACAATGTTATGTTTGATCAGTGTATATCAATGGCTTGCTGCTATATCACATCATTATCACTAAAACTGCTTTGCAATTAACCACCATACTCTACTGCATGAACCAAACTCATATTAACAAAATATATGACTATAGGTCTGTCTGTGTGTACTGTTGGAAACTTCTCACTTTCTCTGAACTACTTCATCCACATAATAACTGCAATCCAAATGTTTGTTTATAAATGATCTGGTTTAATATTACAAGATTAAGCAGTCAGCAGAGATTTTGACACTATCTGTAATTACTTTGTATCAAATGTTATTCTAAATGACTAACTTTTTCCCCAAAAAATATCTGTCCTTGCTGTACATAAGGGACTTAGTAGCTTATAACAGATAACAGATAACCAAAAAGTTAAATATTTGTTATGAGCCCAAATCTGGTTATTAAAACAGATGACTACCTAATGTATAATGCAGTCCAGTGCAGGTTCCACACATAGGACCAAAGAGTTCCTTATGTCACTCAGTTCATTAATTAGTAACAATATAAAACACTTAATATTTGCAAAGAAAAATTATGTCAAATGTATGCAAGTTTAATCTTTTCATCACTGAATGTTTAAGTAGTGTCTTTCATTCTGGATACAATGCTTAAAACATAACGGCTGCAATATTACTTCTGAAAACTTTTAATTTGATATTTTGTGGAAATTTGTAATCCACTAAAGGAGTAGAAGGATTCATTTCAACAACACAGGAAAGTAACAAATAAATCACAAAAAGCTACCTATGACCTAACTGTTATTATTTTTTTCAGTGGTACAGTCTGAAGATTCTCTTGTAGCCTTTACCCACTTTGGTGGACATTATTGTTTGTCTCATTTTGAGGTGTCAAAACTTGGGATTTATTTTGAATGTTTGGTGTAAAATGGGCAATGTAAATGGTGAATGTGAATAGTACCTGCAAACTGAATGTATACTATAACTGTATGTATGTACTGTGAGTATTTGAGTACTTGGAAATGCATGTAGTCACGACTACCTGAGGTGAATGCCGCCTTCATCCATCTGCAAGTCTTGGCCTGAGAGAAATAAATACAAATCTTTTTAATACCAATATGTCTCTAATCAATTATTTGGCAAGGATATATATTTAAACTATATGTTAGCTGAAGTAGAGCAATAACGCACTACAGTATACGGATTTTACTTGAGAGCTGAAGTGAAGTCTGTTGTTTTCAGTCATTTTACTGACATCTGGTGGTGAAAATACAGAACCAGGTCAAATGTTTTAGCTGCTTAAATTAACTGAAGATCTGTTATTGTATATTGTTATACCATTTATCAGATGATTTAGTTTCTAAAATATTGTCCCACACAGACAAATCACGCCACATTCAGTAGAAACATTAAGAATATGTATACCACCACCACAACAATAATGAGCCGGAAATGGATCTGTCGAATATTGCAACAGATCAGCTTTGATATGTACTTCTCTGGAATGTAATTCTTTCTTTGCAAATAGTTTTACGGTGCAAAACACTAAGTAACAAAAGCAGTTATTTAGCAGGGCCATGATCTCCGTATCGTGGGTGGTGAACTTCAGCCTTTTGTATCTCCATCAGCCACCGGTCAACCGCCTTTGACAACATTTTTGCACAGGGACAGGCTCTGAATATTTGTAAAACCCCATTTTATTTCAGGCACTGCTATGTGAAGGAATTAAGTCTAAGTGGCATTTTTTCTGAAAAATCAAATCAAATCAAATTTAAAAAAAAATAAAAAATACGCGCGCCCTCTGTTGGCAGTCACTCCAGACACATTATCGGAAACAATCGCAAACTAGGAACAAGGGGATTAAATGAGGGTGGGCAGATGTTTGAGGCTGCCCCATCTCATTGTGAACACACCCAGGGACTGCCCAAGGCTACAGGAGGGACGCCAAAACAATGCGCAAGGGGGGTGTGCCGATGCGTGTCTGGGGCGTCTGAAGGAATTCTCCTGAAACTTTCTGTGAATACGTGAAGTTAGACGTTTGAGAAACTGCTTATGTTGCATACAAAGTTTCAGTAGCAGAATAGTCGCACCGCTTGCCCTGGTTTCGTTCACAGTGAGCTATGGCTTTGCGCTCCAGCAGGACGGGCTTCTACCGGCAGGAGGTAAACAGAACCGCGTGGGAAGTCCCGGAGCGGTACCGAGACCTGAAGCAGATCGGGACGGGAGCCTATGGGACAGTGTGGTAGGTCTTAACATGAACAACATTCGTAACATTCGTAGCACTACAGGAGTGCCGACACTATATTCTTTTTTTTCATTTCAATTAATTTTGGTTCTGCCGTCACTGCGTTGATGACAGTAAACTGAAATGTGATTCCAAACTGTTTTCGCTTATTTGAAGCGAAAACATTTTAAAAACATCAATACTAAAGCTTTAAATGGAATGTTAGATTTTTCATATACCCTAACTGAATCTACATTTGAGGAAATACATGGTTCTCTTTCACCA